TAAAGTAGGTACCAATTCCTATTCTAAAAATACGAGAAAGCATTTTCTTTTGCCATTAACCTTTTTATTAAAAAAAATGTTCCGTCACTGACTTAAAATTCATTCCTATATAGCTCTGGTTGAAACTGACTGTGACTAGTTAGATGTCCATTTGAGAACAGGAAGAAGAAGTAGAAGCAGATAATCAATGATGGATCATTAAAAGAGCTATTTTCACAGCACTGTGACGAATTTCTGTGGCTAATACCCTAATCTTCTTTACAGTTTAGACTTAAATTGGTGTAATCAGAGTATATATTGATGAAGATTCATTAATATTTTACCTGCTGGGTATTCCTTCATGGTCGTATGAGAGACAAGGCTCTTAATAGTTTTATTGGCTTACATTTTCAATTATATGCTTTATAAAACTATGAAACCTACACAAAATGTGACAACTGCAGAATCTTACAAAATGCAAACATTGTATATTAAACAAAAAATAAAATACAGAAATACATAGCGATATGAGATTTCGTACCTGTCACATGTTTCTTTAAAACCGTAATAGCTATTTATGTAACCAGCCTTATTTAACGAGTGGATATTTGCAGTACGGGCGAAGCGAGGTCCCGCAACATGAACGAGTTACATATAACGGCATTTCGTAACGTGTTTTTCTAATGTCGACTAGATTATTTATAAAATTGTGTTTTGGTAAGGCATTACTGATATCTAGGTAACCAATACTAGTACTGTACTGTTGCATTCGCATCATTTTATTGATAAATAAAAAGTTGTATTAATTATGTATTCTTAAGAATTTGTAGTGTGTTTATATAGTGTTATTAAAGTTATTTATTTTTCAAAAAAGTTAGTTATTTTGGTGTATTGTGTTTTAATTATTTTATGCTGATTTAGAATAGAAAATAAGGATCAAAACAACATTATTACTAGGTTGTAAGTTTAACGAAATTTTATTTTTATAAATCAACCTGCCCTTCTTTGATATAAAATTTCAATAATAATGTGACTTTAGGTATATGCAAAAATTAGAAAAAATGTGTTTGACCATTTTAAGAAACTTGTACTTTGACCTGTTGAATCATCTTGACTAACTGTTTATTGTTATAATGTGTATAAAGTTTTTATCTTGGAGGATATTATACAAATAAAAATAAATAATACCATTTTATTAAAAGCATAAAACTAATTAAGAATATTTATAATAGATGCCAGAAATTTGAAGCAATAAATTAAATGGTTAAAACTACTATAATTTGATATCCTGGAGGTATTCTTATACAAAATAATAAAAAAAATTTAAAAGTGCGTTTTTTGTACTTTCTTTGAATTTATTAAGGGACTTTTATCCTTTTTTGCAATCTCATAGACCTATCTAAATATATTTGCAAATTTATCTGTTTTATGTTGGGCTAAACGTATATAATTACTTTTCCTTGTGGGGTATTCCTGACCTGCATCTGTAACGTATGGAGGGTGGGTCACCCCACGGAATTTAGGCCTCACTAGGCCCACTGTGCATTATCCTAAATTGATAAACCTCTCTTAGCTCGTCAGCCACCCTCCAGATTTTAGTGTAATTTTCAACGTCGCAGAGAAGTGCTTCTCTTATATCGGCCGGTCTTATCCTACACAAAACTTCTAATAAATGAGAGCGTTGGGCACAATCGTAGAGGATATGCTTGAGGTATCATTTTCTTGTTCTCATGTCCTACATGATATACAGATTCTTTCGTACTTGGAAATGACCAGTCATAACATGTGGTCAGGCGCAGGTTCTGTCTTGTCATAGTCAATTACCTGTATGCTGTTGTGTTTCTTGATTCATCCCATCTTTTCTTGATTTTCACAAGATAATGTTTTTAATTTACGTTTGTCACTACCGATGTTTTGAGTTCAATGGAAGAGCCATGTCCCAAAATTATTTGGTTTGCTAGTAAATCAGCAAGACCTTTTGATGTGGCGTGACCTTCAATCCATCTTAAGGTGATCATATTGTTGATGTATACTGCGGCCAAAGCTTCGTGATATTCTAGTACTAACCCTGAGTAAATTCGTATTATGTCTAAGGTGAGTAGTGCTTTTTTTCTATCTGCATAGATAAGCATGTTCCTGCCAGTAATATTATTTCTAGTAACTTCTTTTGCTGCTATGAGAATCTTTGTGAGGTGGCACTATTATCAGTAAAAATAGTCTCATATTACTTGATAATATCTTCTAAAAAGTATAGAACAGCATCATCTCTAGAAAGTGCCACTGTTCTAAGAGTTTAGTATCCTATAAAAAACATTAACAATTGGGGTTTAACAAAATAAATAACAGTAGCAACTCTTTATCTAATATTAAAACTCTTATAAAAAATAAATATTGTTTTCTAGTAAGTTAAATTTAATGTATAATTATTGTTGTTTGTAAGTCAGGATCTATGACCGTAAAATTTTATATTATTGAAACTTGTAACAAAATAAACTACACTTCGTAAGATACATATTGTGACTAGTTTACAATAAATATTATATTTAGACATGAATAAATTGATCCCTTCTTGCGTTTTCTTTAGTTATACATTTGATTTTTATCCTGTTTTACAATCTGGAACGACGTAAATCTTGCTTTCATGTTGTTTGTCACTCATGTTACTTGTACTCAGGTATTTTTTTTCACATTATTTTGATTCTTTTCACCAATTTTTTAAAAAATCACTTCATTTTACATTGACTTACATAGAAAATTGACACCGCTGTCATTCGACATGCCAACTACAGTCAATTTCGCGAACCTTATAAAAAGGACAGAAATTTGAAATTTGACCATTCCCGATTCGCCTCCTTCTCTCTAGTCTTCATAGTAGCGTTGATGTTATTAAGGTGTTTCCTAATTCTAATGTTAAAGAGTATGCTTTATTTAAAATGTCGTAGTAATGAAAATATACAAATTGAGTTTTACCAACATTGATCAATAATCCATTTGTTTTAGACCAATCAATAAAAAAACTTTACAAAATTTTTTGCAGATATTTTAAGAGCCTTTGAAAACCAAAAACAGAAGTAAAAGAGAAAATATCAAAGTCAGAAAACCGCGCGAACAAGCTTTTCTTGCCTGAAAAAAATACTCCTTTGGCTAATACTGCAACAGGCATTGCATTATATTAATAGGAAATTAGCGGAGATAGAAAATAATTTTCAATACTCTAACTTTGATTTTGCTTCGTAGAGAACATCATTCTTTGAGCGGTTTCGTCCTTATTAGGAGTTGCCACCAAAAAATAGACATTTTTGATTCCAATAGAACCTGTAGAAGGGTTACGTCTGCCAGCTATTCCAAGACATAATATATATTGCTTGCTGACGACTCATAGTAAGGACGAAACCGTTCCAAGAATTACGTTTTCTTTGGAAAGCAGAATCAAAGTTAAGGGGTTGTAAATTCTTTTCTCTTTAGTATTTTTCTTTTGATACAATGCAATGCCTGTTGCGGTATTAGCCAACGAAGTAGTTGTTTTCAGGAGGAAATGGTCATTCGACGTTTCTGTGACAATGACTTTGGGATTTTCTCTTTTTGGTTTGTTTTTATTTTTAATTTGGTCACATTTGAGAATTGAAATTTATTTCTTTCGTAAATATTTTTGGGTATTCATATTGAGATAAGCAATATCAGCGGTACCAACACTGATCTCTAAGGTATTCCTGTACTTAGCCCATGGAATTCGGAAATTTTTATTAGGTTTTCCTGTTACAGTATGTAATCCAGTCTAAAAAAATTCTCGAAAACCTAGATTGTATAATTTGATTTTAAGAAATTGTATAATTATACAAGGGCACGTGACAAGTCAAAAAAAGATCTCTTCTGGGCTTCCACTATCCATATCACTTCAAGCATACCTACTCAAAAATTGCAAGCTACTGTAAGCGTAGATTTTTTGTCCTGGACCCATGCCTAATTATTGATTTTAAGTTATTAGTATAAAAAATCCTGTATAATTCTGCTATAAACAATATTTTTTACAGTAGTTGGGACTTGGTTTTCTGGGTCATCCTTGTTAAAAATGGTGGTAACTGGCAATTTTTTATAAAATTAGAGAATTTACCTTATCCTACTGATAAATTATGATATTATTAAATAATGTGCTTGAGAAAGAGTTAATGTCCGCTTTTAAAAACTTTGAAGAAATGTTAACAACTGAGATTGGTTGATTTCTGAAATTAATATTAGTATCATTAACTTCATCACAAGATATAAATAAGAAGATTTTATTAAAAATACTTGTACAAGAAATTGACCTAGTGATGCCGTAGCAATCATTTTAGTTAATTTTTGTATTACTCAGGTAATGCTTAGCAAATATATTTACTAGATTAAAAGGATTTGTGAAAATAACTCCCTCAGAGTAAATTACTAAGTCCTTATTTGCGTTTTTCATGTTTTCAGTTTCTTTCTTTAATACTTAGTTCCAGATAGTTTAAACCATCTGTACTCAACCTTTTGTTCTTTCGGGCCACATAAATCTATTTGTTATGCTACACGGGCCACAATATTTTTGGGTAATAACCTTTTTGAATATAAATAAAGCACAAAAGCAAAAAGTCCTCATATTGGTTTAGTTTAAATATTCCTCATGTTGTGTTAAAAAGCTTTGGGACAATTTATTTCAAAAAAGCTACCTAATAATAGTGTTTGCTGCTGCACAAAAAAGCTCGAAGGGTCTCACAAAACAGCTTGGAGGGCCGCAGGTTGAGTACGGCTGGTTTAAACCGTTATTTGAAATATTTGTGAGCTGCTGATCATATTTAACTAATCATATAAATGATCTAATTTGATGATTAAAAACTCTCGTAGGAACCATGGAAGTGACGCTCCGGTTGTTAATCTTTAGATTTGTTTTTGATAGTCTATGTAAAGACGTTCTTTAAAAAATATATTTTATAAATCAAAAAATAAGCAAGCAAATATACTATCGATTTTATTCCTATTTTTTAATAAATAATGTTTTGTTTCAGGACGCGCCATGTCGGCGTGGACTCAATTGATGGAGCCAGGGCCAGTACTGATATTTTTAGTCCTTATTTTTATACCACAAACTGCTTATTCTGGTAAGTTTCTTAACCAATTTAATCAAGCTGATTTTTACTAAATACATCCGGAATTACATCCGTCTCTAACACTAGAATCAACTCCAATGGAATTTTTAATTATCACGTCCTTTAATTTCCCAATATTCAAATCCGGTAAAAATTCACTAGAAATAAAGTCGTAAAATACAAATTTCTCACCGTCTTTTTCTCAAAATATATCGCTATCTTTTAAATTTGCATAAAACGCAACGCGCATTATGCGTCTACTATTGAAAAATGTACATTCTTAAAAGATTTCCACGTACTTTTTAAAAATAGCAACTTTTAACAGGAACAAGAAATCAAGTTATGAATGAAAAGTTCTATAGTGGAATGGTTTTGCAGTTCTCGAAATAGATTTAAATGGGAGTGGATACGCTTCCGATAGGATGTTTGGATTATGTTTAAAAGAATAATTGGTAGACAATGAAAATATTTTATTAATCATTTAGATGATAGATATTTCCTAAAACTTTCTTTTTACATTATGCATTTATTTTATATTTATTGCAGATATAAGTTAGAAGCAAATTGATTAACATTGGCATAACATATTTTGGTAAATAAGATAATAGAAAAGAGCAAAAAGTTTAAGATAACTAATTTGGCAAAGTTGCTTACCTTCTTACATTTTGTAATGAAGAAATAACTAATTTATTTTAAAAATCAATTTAACTTCTATTACGTACACTATAAATGGTTTTTAAATTTTAATAATAGGAAAATAAAAAAAAAACTCTACTCGACCGACCTCTGTTAATTATTGGCTATTACTTAAACATTTACTAAAAATTTAAAATATTTTCACATCGGACTGCGTGTCTACTAATAGTTTGTGTCTAAGGTTATAGTAGATGTAACCACCATTACACAAATAACACACAAGCAACCATTAAATGCACGACGCACTTCTATACTAAAGAAGTCGCTATTTGGCAAATATTTGATTAAAGAATCCTTACGGTTTTAAAAGTGTAAAATCTTAACAAATAACGGATTATAAAAATACCAAAAGTCGTGATACAAAAAGATTCTGAAAGTGAAAGAAATAGAATGTAAAAATGTAGGTACCTGTCAAAGCAGCAAAACTTTGAAACTGAAGTGTGATTTACAAAAAATATTTCTAAAGTAGGCCATGACAATGACAGAGATACGAGTCATGATCACGGTTCGTAGACTAAAACGGTGGTCTCATCATGGTTGCTAAGGACGCAGTGACGTCACGGAATGAAAAAGTGATTTGATAGAAGATATTCTACTGGGATCTTACATTAGTTTTTTGAACAATCTAATATTTTATTGTTATTTAGTGATGTTTTTATTTTTAAACTATGTTTTATTGTTAGAGTTTTTGTAATATTGATAGTTTGATTTTTTGAAAAATAAGCTACAATACAGAAATGAAAAATCATGTAATAATTTCCATCAAATTTCATAAAAATTACTTTTTATTTCAAATATAAAGAAAAATATTATTGTTTGAATGGTTTATTTTAAACATTTTGAGTTAGGGTACGGCCTCCTAGTCGAATTTGGATCACACGTTGTTTATATCCTGAAATATTTTGAAATTTTGGCGCGCCGTTGGCAAAAAATTTTTACACACAAAAATTTTTGAATTTTCATTACCTATTCTCATTCCCAAAAAATCAGCCAAAAGGGCATTAAAATAATATTTTCAATGATATGTCATACTTGGTACTTTTCCAATTTAAATTGTGTTAATTAGAGTAACGACTGGGCATAGATTAGGGAAATGTGAATCGATGGGAAACTGAATGGTAAAATTCTAAGACGATGTGCTGCCATCTATCAAATAGGAGAGGTACTGAATTCAATATGGCCGGCAGAGAAAATCTAAAAAAAAATAAAGTTTATTTTGACTAGTTTCAAATCATAGAACAACCGTATTGACTGTTTTATGATTTGAAACTAGTCAAATATTTTGCCGATTTATATTTTTATTTGATTTTACTTTACATAATATTTTTGCATTAATTTATCTTATTTTATTTTTTTTATTACAGTAAATTAACGCAGCAATATATAATTTATTTATTTACGTATGAAAATGCTCAGACATAATATGTATTTACACCTTTTAAATCATTAAATATTTATAAAACAAACCTATCAAAAATGTTTTCTGTAACAAAATCAACATGTATATTGCTCAAGACCTTTATAAGAGTTTTGCGACTTAAAGTGGTAAATAAGTTTGAAAAAATTGAAGTTAAAGCGTCATCCTTTTGGTGTCTTACTATCAAGGCGAATTTGAGTGTGGATAAAATTTGCCATATGTTTATCGAGTCCACTAGTTAGCATTTCTTCATCCGATAATTTTTTTACTGATTTACTTGTACAGCACTTGTAGTTTAAATTAAACTTACACACGTTTGGACCCTTAACGGTTTTGGGTTAATTTTACTTGTTTGATGTCAAAATTTTCTTTACAATAACAATGATCATTTAAAAACTTACCATTAGTGCCAAACAATGCAAAATGCATTTTTCTTAAGACGCTTATTACGTTTGGTTATCCTTAATATGACGACCGCATATTTAATAAGAAGTATAAATTGCATCATTACCAATATCTTTGAGTGCTTTATTGTACATTCCTGAAACCCATCTTTCCATCTTTTTAAAATGCTTAAAATTGGAAGGTATTGAAAAATATATTTAAATGAATCAAAATCCAATGCACTTTTAACTGCACCAGCCATTTAAATTGTTTGAGGTTTTGCACGAGCTGACAACTGACATTTCGATACGAGCGCGATCCCGTTAATTGGAGTGGTACTAAATTATCTTCCACATGTTTTTCCATTTGAGTTACCAGCCCCTGCGACTTTGAGAAGAATGGCATATGACAGTTAAGGATGACAGAATAAAAATTGAGCTGTTTCAAGCAATTTTGATATTTCCTTTAGTTCAGTAGATATTGCCCATTGTAAATTTAAATATTATCATATTATTTAGACATTTTGGTGAGACTGGATTATACTTATTAAACATCCGTCTGAACAGTTCCATACACACATCCTTTTTTTATTAGAATTCTCGCCATGGCTGAGTAAAGAGTAATCGATTATGCATTGTGTGTAGACTTAACATGTGTTCTATAAAATGCTTACAACTCCATTTACTAGTTCACATACCAACTAACCTCGAAAAATTATTGCAATTTTGTTCCACTTTAATTGGTCATCTAAAGAAACATAAAAGTAGGTGCAAAAACTAGGTGTTACATCGTCGTTAAACACGATTTGTTTGTTGATGGAGTTGGAGACATACGGTTGGACTGCCTTGAATTGGAATGGTCAGTTTTCACTTTTAATGATTATAATAATATTGCACATTGGTAATTAATGAAGAAATAATGAAAACAATTACTTCTCTTTGCTTGTATTCTTGGTTACAGACGATTGTAATGTTTAAAAATTAGATTAGAGAATTATATTTCTTTAATTTTTTTGCACCCATTTCTAATGACCAATTTAAAAAAAAATGATAAAAACCAAGTGGTATTACTTTGCGCCCAATTTAAAGAACACGAAAAGGTACTCAATATCTACGAGTATGACATGCTGCTATTTATTTTTATTATTTTTTATTATTTTTATTATTTATTATTAATTATAAAATTAAAATAACAGCTCACTAAGATTGGTTCTTTAATTTTCCTGATAAAATTCCTACTATTATTAAGCGCTATGCGGTGTTAAGGCAGACCATCGCATGCTTTGTATTTCAAAGTCATTTCGTCTCTATTGGAATCTTTTTGTACCCTTGTTTGATGCGATTCCCTTCTTCTTTTTATTTATTTTTTTTGTATCGTGTTGCTGTCCTCTATCGAACTTTTTAAACTGTTCTTAATGTAATGTTCCGACCATTATGGTCATGATCTTATCCTTTGGCTCTCTCTGCCTTATTTGGGCACATTTTTGACCCCATTTGTTCTTAAAATCAGGAATGTTTGATAAAGGGGATAAACCCCCTTTACCCAACTATACGGACGCCTATGATCACAGATAGTCGGTATGAATCATTCATTCGGGAATGTACTAGAACCTAGCCTTCATAGAAGTAAATTCAAACAATTGTCAGAGATGCCTGTCTAATAAATGGCGAGAAAGAGAATAATCTAGCGCATACACCAATTAATTTATAAATGGGCTGTGTTGCACAGGAAGTCGAGTCATAGCAATAAGAACAAAGTAAATGTGATATAAATAAGTATAAGTAAATGTGTTAAATAAATTAGAAATATAAATAGTAGTATAAGTATTAAATATATTAATTAGTATGCAGTATAAATAAATTATTTTATCATTACATTAATATTATGAGTGGCCTGAAATAAAGTGAACACACTGTGATTAAGCTACGTAATTGAAGTATTTTTCCTTCCTTATTGATTGCATTCACCCTTTCAAAAAAGCCATGGAATAATAATTCGAAGTGTTCATGTCAAGGATAGCAGATACTGACCTGATGCAAACTCCATCTATATCAATCTGCAACCAATGTGAATCTCCATCTATTAGGAAGAGTGATTTAGATTAAAAAACGAAAAGTTCAATTCAATGTTTTATTCGTTTTATTAAATATTACCTAATGATAAAATTATTTATTATCTAATAATATATTTTTTTAATAATTTCTACTATCTAAATGATTTTAATTATTTTACATATTCGTGAAAGAATGTTGAAAAGTGGTCTTCCTTCGCATTTGGTAGAATAAATATAAATAAATTTATAAACAATATAATATGTTGTCTCCTCTCAATTCAATTCATATAATCAATAAAATATTTGATTTCCGTGCCATATGAATTATAATAGGTATGTCTATTTTCGTAGTTTATGTAATAGAGGAAGTGATAGTCCTAAATACATTGTTATATACCTTAAAAGTTGGTGAAATTATATTTTTTATGAAATAAGGAAAACACATTAGAAATTAAATGAGTG